AAACTGGGAGGAATTGTGAAAAACTATTGACAAAAGACACAATTAATTCAACATCTACATGTCTCGCCAGTCATCMATTGTATGTATTGTTGATTGTGGCAGATTGGTAGCGCACTACTTTTTTCCYAAATGACTGTCAAACTGTCTGATCATAGGCTACAAATTAACTGAATGGCAATRCCAGCGCTAAAATTTTAAGGGGCGGGGGACTGGTCAGTGGTTTTAAGGGGGCTAAATTGTTTAGGGTTAGATAATAAAACAACATTGAAAATGATAAACAATAGTCAGCTTTTAATGCCCAGAGTGGGGGACTCCATTCCACCTTTGCCAACCCTTGGATCCGCTCTTGCTATTGTAATGTTATTATGTGCAAGGGGTAAACAGGACTTGTCTTGTATCTCCATTTAATCTTTTAAATTCCATTGTTATCTGGGTGATTGATTTGCGACCAGGCCTGCATATAAATTCGCCAAGGTTGTAAGCCAGTGAACCCGTGCATTTTTGTTAAGCGGTCATATTTGAAAATCTAAATAAAGGAAAGGGAAAACCCGCGCGCAGCTCTCCTTTCACTCAGATAAACAGTACAAGTCGTGTTAAATTTATTTACATAACTAAACAAAATGATTATAGAATTTAACCTTTAAGAATTGAATGCTCATATGAAACATTTTCCACCTTAAATACACACGTGTTTTTCAGATGGGAATTTTATAGTCGAACTTTTTCCACGATGGAATTTTGTTTTGAGTCGTTTCGACATAAACAGTCGCTATCAAGACATTACACGAAAAACCGCAGTCATCGTTCTAGCTCTCGTTGTAAGGTCAAAGCTTGTAAATGTATAAGCGACCTGTTACATAACGTCAACTCGTTGTGTCGTCGAGCATGCTTGCGGGTTATTGCCAAAAATGCGACAAAGGATGATCTACGACAGTTGTTTGTATGAAACATAACAAACGCTTTAACTCTATTGGAATACGTGGAGCTAAGCTGCTCTAGCTCTTCCAGTAATGTTGTGAGATACCTCAAAGCTTWGAGGAAACAAGAGCTAAGAAAAACGATTTGCAATGGTTCCTCCATAAGATACTTTGGACTTGAACGTCGCTTCAACGACCTTCTGAAGTCTTCGTGAAGTCGGCCATTGCTTCGCATGCAATGGAGAACCCGCGTAGAACACAGACTAATTATTTTTAGCAGGGAGGGGAGTCCCTTGGTATTAAAGAAAAAATTCTTTGCTATTTCATTTTTAGATAAAATTCTATTTCTATAACGATAAGTGTTTGATTGACATTTAATAAAAGCTATTTTATAAAGATTTTCAATTTGTCTTTGCGTTTTAGCTTTGATTTTTCGGATAGAATAAAATGGCAGGCAGCCTACTCCACTGGGTCGAGTTTTGTTGTGCAAATTCCTCCCGTCGGGGGGTTATGTTTACAACACAAGCTTGTCAGCTTTGCGCTGATTGGCTAGTCGCATTTTCTCAAATCACCCAGATGTCTTACTCTCCCAAGTCATTCCCGATCCATCTGCCCTCCCCCACTAGCCCTCTGGTACCTGGCACAGACCCTCCTGATAGCCCGCRCTTGACTCACACGCCCTACACTGTACAGTTTGTCAACATGGTAGAATGTTTCTGCGCATGTGCTCATTACTATGACATACTAACCTTTTTTGTTCCATATATAATAATAACCCAAATCAGCCATGTCCGCTGCTGATTGGTTACTAAACTTCGCTCGGTCTCTTATATCAACGATCAAGTCTAAATCAGTGTCGTAAGGTATGAGAGTGCCATTTTCCCTCCCAACAGAAATTACTGCGCCGCCAGTCATCACGTACCGAATGCGGTGTTTCTCAAAGATGTCATGCGTGTTACTTAACATTCTWATCATCATACGTCGACAGCAAGGACTCCAGTTAATGCGCATGCGTAAATCCACATCRAAATAAGGCTCGACGACAGCACACGGAGATTTGTTGAATGCACATCCGSGATATTCTTCCGAACCGYTTGGATAAATCACCTTACTTACTCTATCTGTAAGTTTTGGGTAGGCACAAACACGATACTGACCAAAAACATTAGCCACTTCTTTATTATTGCTTAACGTTAATGTCCAGTTTGCAGGGTCCCATGTCCAACTACGACACTTTAATCCAGTTATGTTATTCACTGACTSATAACAAACAAACACAACCTTTAGATACTGATATATGACGCCATGTCTCTTGTTGAAGACACATCCTTTTTCGTGAACGAACTTCCATATCACGTGACTACTGTTTGTGACCACGTGACTTCGAGGATTGGGAAATGTTTGCTGCTTGATGCTATCTTGAATTGGTCGAAAATGAACGAAGTCAACTTTGTCWTTATCTGTTAAGAGTAAACTATTCTCAAATATAGCGTTGTATTTTTGAATCAACGTTGTCCTATCTTTTATTTTATCAAGGAAAACAAAGCTGTCAATTAGTGACTTGTTTTTGTTATTCTGTTTGGGTTTTCTGCGGTTGATCACAAGGTGTATTCCAAATACTAGCACAATAACAAGTGCTGACCATCGAAGCAGTTTCAGGGCTAGCAATAATCTAAGGAACAAAGAAAAAGTTAACAAATAAACGATCAAGTCGAAGTCATAAATGCGCGTATTTAAGAACTAATTTTTCCCACGATTATTTAGTCAAGACTTATGACTGTGACAATTCGAGAACAACTTCCATCTGACTCACCTCATGTTACTGTAAGCTTTGACTCAACAACACTTGCTGCAATAAAAAAAGGTCCAATAATACATGACATAAAGGTATTCTAGATGAATAACTCRGGAAATTTAGGTGTACATCTAACATAATTCATTGTACAAATCTGAAGTTTTTTAACCTATGCATGTCTCCTATTTAATTTACAACTAGATCATAGACAGAGTTGACTCGTGCCACTAACTGTGTTGAAAATTGCATGTRCTGACTTACGATAATGAATGTTTTGAATTAGCTCCATTTTGGCGATTATAGTTACCCACATAGCTTACATAWTCGACGGGATAACTGATAGATAACTGATAGATCAGTTATCCTTATTAAGAAATATTTGAATGGATATTAATTTACAGATTGTACGTAAATTTCTGTAAACATAATTATGTGTCAGGCTATCCCGTCGATTATAGTAACCTGATAGTAACCGGGGTGTTTTTTTTTTTTGGAGGGGAGGGGAGGAGGAGGCGGGGCGTGACTTCGGGGTGAAAGTACCGGGGATGCTCGTCAGAAATTTTCAATATTTTAATAAGATACCTAAGAGATCCCGAAAGTCTTTTTATCCCAAGTATATCCTACAATGCACTGCGTATACGGTAATAATTTTATAAAATCTTTATAATTCTATTTAATATTGCATCTTATCTTTCACATTTTAATATATATACTTCGAAATTGAAATACATTTATCTAACGTTTCACTAAGGAATAAGAGGAATAAGAATAGCTATCAAGTGCCCCAATCCAAGACAAAGAGACACCAACAGTTATTTATACCAAGAGAGCTCTAAGACTATTAAATGAAAATTTAAAGGCCCAGCGTGCACCATTATGCTTTGRGGCCCTCGGGTGGCCATTTTTTAGTTTACTGAAAGTCTATAAATTGTACTGTGTGCGTTTCAAATCTCTGACCATCTCACTTTTCTAAGCACTTAAAACGATGATATTATAGTTTKCAACCAGTTTCTTCGTTTTATGGTGATATTTGGATACTAGAAGTATTTTGGTGTAAATCATAACAATAACAGAGGCTCGCAAAGCATAATGGTGCAAACTGGGCCTTTAAAAATCCAAACTTATATTTTGCCTATGTATCTAAATTTATTGTACTGAATATTTAGAATGTAAAAATTGAACGATGTATTTTTTTATTCAAAGGTGTTTTTTTTAATAAAGTTATTCTATTATTCTATTTTTCTCTCACTATTATGAAATAAATCTTGCCTCTCACCAGGCCCTCCCCGTTTGTATACGTAAAAAGCACGCAAYCCGTATTTACAGACTAAAATGATCACCACACCACCATACCAATGATCTAATGATAAACTATTTTATGTCCCAAACTCATAGTTTGAAAATTGGTTAGAGCCTGTTCGATCATCTTTTAGACTTCTTGTCTGATCGTTTTATCAGGATTTACTTTATCCCATCGTRCCTCTCTACAGCTAGCCTGAGTATCAGGCTCTCCAAACCCCTTCRAGAGAGCCTGATACTCAGGCTACTCGACAGCTTGCATTTTGACCTTCGAAATGATTTTATACATTGAATTGAGGCAATAWCTCGGGCACAACTGCCATTGCACTGAGCTCATATATATGGATTACATCAGAAACAACACGTGTATTCCTTCGTATTAGGTTGTAATCACACCAGCTTACCTTATTTTCGAACAGTAAAGATGGGTCGTCAGTCTTCAGTTGAACGTCCATAGGTTCGTATTAATCTAAAGTCAAAATATGCGGGAATAGTACTCCATATTTCGTGTAGTATTTTGACTGTAATGAGGTAAATACAATTCAAATAAACTCGTCGCCTTTAAAAAATCGAAACTATTCTTTTAACGAGCTCTTCAATGATTGCAGTACAACGCTTGATATTTCGATCTGTTATCTTCAACATCGTGCGTGTCCAATGATAGCGTGTAACTTGATATGGAATGACACCAATAGGCCGAACGAGTCACGCAACCAACAAAAAATGGGAAAATCGTAATCGCTTCAAGACCTCGATCACTTACAGCAGAAACCGTTGCATCGCAAGTTCAATGTTCAAAAGAAATCGTTGAGATTAAGCTTTTTATGCGACTTGGGGGCGACGTTTGCTACAAATCAGCCAATGACGACAATGACTGAACGAGTCACGAAAATCTCCGCCACTTAGAAGGAAGAATCAAAATCCAATCAAACTTCGAAACGAAGAAGCAACGATGTATCTTCTAAACCCAGGAAAGTACCAAACCCGCTCCAATGGCCAGCTAAAAAATAGGCGTGAGTGATGTTTTTTTAACACAATTCAGACTTGGGGGAGGGAGGAGCGGTGGGTAGGTTTTGTTCATTTTTTCAAATGGAAGAAACATTCATTAAAATCATCAGTAACAAGTGAGCAACTGCGCATGTCCACATCTTTCCCCGCAAAATCTGCCTAATTTCCTTTGTAAAGCGATTTTTGTGAAAGTTTTGTACAATTTATAAGCTCGTTCACCGATATATAAGATTCATATTTYCATCAAWCATTGTTYATGATAGGTCCTTTTAGTATGTAGTTTCTATTTTTATCTTGTTATTTCTACTTTGAGAAAATGAGGTTTTTCGTAGTGTTTCTGTGTTGTCGCTGTAAATCGCCAGGCGCCCTGTTTACAGATTTCAAGACGCGAGCGCGCACTGGCGGGAAAGCTGTGGGCATGCGAAGTGCGTTTTTCACCAGTGTCATTTGTCACTTTTATTGAATTTTTGGTTTTCTATAAACGTATTCAAAGGTATGGTTTGTTTTCATTCTCGTACCCAGACACTTTTTCATCTTCCAACCGAAAGTCAAAAGGCTCTGGGACACCTTGTAATTTCAAGCCATATGATTGGCTAATTCAAATAACAAACGGACAAGATTGTAATCGCGATCAAAAATTTGTATTTTTTAATATATCTCTACATTTTTTTCGTACATATTCTTGCCTCATTCCGTTTTCACTGCGTACCAAAGTCACCGAAATGATTGCAAAGAATGATGAAACATTTTTTTATTTCACCTCGCTTAAGGTGGTATGATACCCAAAAGTAACAATAATTTCAAGGAAGGCTTAGCCATTTTATTGTTTCACATATCATTATCCTTATTGAGACAAATCATTTGATACCAATTTTAGCACTTGCTGTTGCTATGGTAACCAAGCCACACCCAGAAGATTTCTTGCTTCCGGTTTATAAGGTGTCCCAGCTACGACAGGCCACTAAAGGGCGCGAGAGTAGGGTCTGGGTACGATAATGGGTTTGCTTTATGAGACTTTTCCTCAGTCTCCTATACTCGGCTTCGCGCAACAGCTGTTCTCAGGAATCCTAAAGTATCATTACGTAGAGTACAAACTCTCTCTAAGTTTTATCTCTCGACCTGTGTCACTTCTTACTTCAAATCAGGGAATCATTCTAATATTATTTGAGGGCTCAGGTGTTTGTTCACATTCATATAGGTAAGAACATGCATAGTATGGCAACTGAGTACATGTATATACAAGATAAATAAGTTCAAATTTCGACCAAAACGAAGCTTTAGCAAGGGCAAAACAAACAAAAGCTGTAGTAGTGTAATAAGCATGCTAGTTCAGAAAAAGACAACAATGATATTGAGCTCAAGCGAAGTCATTGTAAAGGGGAATCGGATCATCGCTTCTTGTTCGAAACAGAAAGCCCCCAGTTCTAGTTTCAGTAAGCTCAGTATCGGAGCTTTACCGTGAACTATAAGATATCCTGAAAATCCAGCCTTACAAATGCTAGTTCAGAATAAGACAATAATTCTTAAGCTAAATATCTATTATGGATAGGACATTGAGCTAAAGCGAAAATACAGTTAGTCATTGTAAAGGGGAATCGGATCATCGCTTCTCTTGTTCGAAGCCGAGAAGACCCCATGCAGTTCAGTTGTAAGTTTAGTGTCACAACGTACCTTTACAAACTAAGATATCCTGAAAACCCAGCCGTACAAAATGAAGCTAGTCTTGTTTATAAGAAAAGTAAATACAGTAATTTCTATAAAGGCGATGTTTGTTTATTATTCCTTTCGATAATTCAATTATAAAAGCCATATTGTGTACAGGAAAGTACAAGATTTGCATAATAATCGGAATGTGAAAACGTGCTTCACCTACTAATAACATCCAAAGAATCAAGATTTTGTTTTTTTGATACATAAACGTTATCGTTTTATTTTAGCGATCTTTCCTTCGTGGTCGTTAACATTAATTACAAAGATGACCTGTCAATTGCTTTCAAACTCTGTATTGTTAATTTTGAACAATATTGAATTATATATAGCGCTAGACGGTGTGCCGTTCAACAATTGATTGGATCGCATATTATAAAGTGGTTATTAGACCGAATGTCAACATGGATACACTAATTTACATACATTCATCGAGGAAACGTGCTATTAAAGAAACTTTGAATACACCTAATTGAAGAAACTTTGTCGGGTCCAAAATTAAAGGTCAAATCATAGAAGCTAAGACCGAAAGTGTACTTGGGAAGACAAACAATTTGGCTAATTTCATGCAAACAGCTCTCCAGCATAAAAGACTAGCATGCTGTTAATCTTACTAGCTCTAGCTACTTGATTTACGGTGCACTTATGTAATCCCAAATCACAAATGTAATCCCAATTTAGTGGTACTCAAAATCCCTTTCGGTCTTAGCTTCTCTGATGTGACCTTTTCGAACACGACTACGTTTTTTCAATTAGGTGTATTTACACAATCACGAAATGCCTGATTATGATAATATGATTAACTATTGCATGTGTCGTCTGTTTTGTAAGAGGGCCTGAATGGGAGGGGTGGGGTGGGGGTTCCTTTATACATAGTTATAGTTAATRATTATAGGGGTGGCGAATGGTACCTAGAAATAACTGGGTCTCTGCAATTTTTGGCAGAATCTCGAGATCTCGGACTGCCAAAAAAAAGGATCTCGGAATCTCGTGTTTCCGGCAAWTTTTTTTGGCCTCGGATCTCTGAATTTCTACAACAAGATCTCGGATTTTGATTTGCCGGCATGCTCTCGAGARCGTTGATTTATAAATTGATTGTTCTAAATAAATGTTTTTTTCCGTTTTAACTCGATAAACAAGAACATAAAAACATTAATCTCGCTTCTCGGAGTTTGGAATTTTTAAAATCTTGATCTCGGATTTTAAAACAGCGATCTCGGCGTCTCGACGGATCTCGAATATTACCATTCGCCACCCCTAATTATGCTTTAAACACTAAATACTATTTTTGTGGCCTCTGTAACACGAAACATTAAAATTTCAAGTCTTATAACACCGGTAAATACATGGCCGTAACAGTTATTTTGTTATACGAAGTGACAACGAAAAAATCATAATAAATGGGAAAAAAACATATCCTATATGACCTGCAATAAGCACTTTTAAGTAGTTTTTAAAGTATCAAACTTTTAAAACATTACATCTCAACATTGAGCAAGGGGAATAGATTCGATTTCAAGGGGTGATCCATTGGACCATTAAACTTTTGAGGGGTTAGGGGGAGAATTAAAGAAAAACATTGGCAAAATAAACGTCATGCTGTCTGACGTTTAGACACTCCGTTTATGAAAAATGGACATTTACTTTTGTCAGGTAAATGTAAAGTAAAGAGTCAATTTTTTTTTTGCAGAGTTTTCAACGTATAATGGATGATTTGTTATCCCAGTTATTCCTCTTCCATTACTCAAGAGACGAGTATCGCGAGGCAATTGAATATGCTGAACGGAGACTTACCAATGCTAAAAGTGTTGGTGACAAAAAAGAAGAAGCAATTGCCAATGGAAACTTAGGAATAGCCTATGAAATGTTATCGGAGTACCAAATGGCAATTGAATATCTTAATGAAAGCCTTACAATTGCTGAAGAGATTGAAGATAAAGAGGAAAAATTACGAGCTTACGGAAACCTAGGAAAGACCTATTGCTCAAAAGGAGACTTTCAAACGGCAATAACATATCTTAATAACAGTATTGACATTGCKAAAGATATTGGTGACAAGAGAATTGAGGGGTTTTGTTACAGAAGCTTAGGAAATACCTATAATCAAAAAGGCGAATTTAACAAGTCAATTGAGTATCATCAAAAGAGCCTTGGCATTGCTCAAGAGATGGGTGATAAGGAAGAACAAGGAAATGCTTATGGTAACTTAGGAGTTAATCATCGATCATTAGGAGAATATCACACGGCAATTGAATTTCACACTAAAAGCCTTGGCATTGCTATAGAGATGAAAAATAAGCATTCAGAGGCAAATGGTTACGGAAACTTAGCAAGTTGCTATTCCTCATTGGCGGAATTTCGCAAGGCCATTGAATTGCATGAGAAGAGCCTTAGTATTACTAAGAGTATAGGAAACAGGGCGGGAGAAGCWATGGCTTGTGGAAACTTAGGTTCTGTGTATGAGTTATTAGGTGAATATCACGAGGCATATGCATGTCACGAAGAGAGCCTTAAAATTGCTAAAGAGATTGGTGACAAGAAGAGAGAGGAGAATGCTTACGGAAACATAGCAAATATCTACGACTTGACTGGAAACTATAGCAAGGCCATTGAATACAATAACAMGAAACTTGCCATTGCTGAAAACATTGGTGACAGAGAGGGAGAAGGAATTGCCTCTGCAAACTTGGGGAGTGCGTACCAAGCATTAGGAAGATATGAGGAAGCAATTAAACATCTTGAAAAAAGCCGTAGCATTTTTCATGAAATCGGGGACAAAGAAGCGGAAGGATCTTGTTATGGGGGCATAGGAAATGTCCATCAAGCATTAGGAAACCATGAAATGTCATTTGAATGTTATGAAAAGGAGCTTAAAATTGCTGATCAGATTGGTAGCGAACAGAAGAAAGGACATGTGTACGGAAACTTAGGAATTGTCTATAGCTCATTAGGTGACTTTGAAAGGTCTTTGGAATACCAGAATATGAGTCTTAAGATTGCCTTAGAGATTGGTGACAGAAGAAAGGAAGGACTTGTTCATCGAAATATCGGTAAGGAGGCATTTTTTTCCAAAAAAATATATATAATAAAAAACTGATTACTTTAAGTTATTAACTAAACAGAATCGRAAGTGTGATTGCTATTTCACCCCTGCTTCCCACAACCTGTTTCTTAAAAAAATAAAAAAGTATGCTAAAAGTAAGAGTAAATTAAGAATGTTCTTCATCACACAAATCTAAAACAGGTTACCTGGTGGCATGTGAATAAAATTAAATAGAATTCGATCCCAAACCATACTTTTTTTAAAACAAATATTTCTTAGCTTGTCGATTTAGTGTTATTTCTTTTGGCGTTTAAGTTCTTTTGCTTCATTGGATTGTTTTTGGTAGAGATTTTGTGATATAGTACTCAGAATAAAGAATAACACATTTAAGTTACGACGTTTCGAAGTCATCTTGACTTCATTTTCAAGTATTTCAATGAGATTCAAATTCTGTACTTATATGCTGTACGACATATTAAAATACTTGAAAATGAAATCAAGATGACTTCGAAACGTGTTAAATGTGTTAATCTTCATTGGATTGCTGAAAAGAAATAAGCTCATCAAGGAATTTCACTAATCTAAATTAATATGGTCAACTAATATCTCCTTAACAAGCCTTTTTCACGTTTTCTTTGCAAAAGAAAGCAAATACATTTCAGAAGGACTATTTCAGCGGACATGAAAATTTACAAGGACTAGAAATACCATCATGATTAAGTTTGCTACACAAACTGGCATCGCTGCACATTGCCTATTGAAAAAGGCTAGTCCGGTTTACATTATCAAAGCCGAGACAAATTTTATGCATATAGCATTGTTTTAGTGTCAAAAGATTGCCTGCACTGAATAAAATAATAAAAAGCAAGGATACAAAATGTCATATGCAAATATGAATCTATAAAAAAAGTATTTTTCCAAATAGATAATAAATGTATATAGCAAGTGTATCACATCCGCTGTGTTTTTCACGCCGTGTCGTCGCACACACAAGACTACTGAGTAATGTTTAAATATTTCTCTGTTGGCTGCTGCAGCCCTTCTTGCCTTGTCACATGCTATAATTCATTGCCAGCAATAACGTATTGAATAAATGCATGATATTCTACCAACAGGATCTTTATACTACCGATCCGATTGTGGATTTAAAGACCTCAGTAAAGCTGAAGAACACTTTCAAAAGAGTGTTGAATGCTACGAGCAACTGTTTGATGACCTTAAAGAAAAAGACCAGYTCAAGATTTCTTTCGTTGATACTTATGCTATAACCATCAAGTATCTTACCGAAATTCGAGTTCAGACTGGGAAGCCAGAAGAAGCTCTACTGGTATGTGAACGTGGAAGAGCTCGCGCTTTGAGGGACATTCTAAGCGTAAAATACAAAACAACTGAGATGCCTGTATCAAAGCAGAAATTGCTTAAACATGATGACTTGAAAACGCTTTCGGCAAGCAATGAAAGCTGTATTCTCTTTTATGATCTTCATCGTAATAATATGGCTACACGATTATGGGTCATAGCTCCGGAATCGAACCCACTCTACATTCAAAATGAAGCTGTTGAAACGGAAATCTTTGACGATGAAGTGATAAAGAAATATCTCCATTATCTTGTGAAAAAGAGCTTTGAAGACATGAATGTTAGAGATCAGGGACTGATTTGTGAGGACCGGTCACAAGGCCCGCTAARGTGTGAAGTTGTAGACCCTATTTCAGCTGCAACCTTTCCGCAACTTTTGAGAAATACAATTGGAGTAGAAGACGAATTCAATGACAAGCCTCCATTGGAAATGCTGTTTGATAGTTTAGTGTCGCCAGTGCTGGACGTGGTTACTCAGGATGAGATTGTCGTGATTCCTGATGGCCCTCTATTCACGGTACCATTCGCTGCATTGGAAGTTCCTAATACAGGAAAGTTTCTAAGTGAAATTAAACGCATTCGCCTGGCTCCCTCACTAACGACTTTGAAAATTCTACAAGAATCTTCAGATGATCATTTTTACAAGGTAAAATGTAGTATATAATGGCTTGATCCCGAGTTGATTTACTATATAGGTCTTATATAGGTCCTATAACTTCCTAAGGAAGTTCAATTTACTATACTTGGCGGTCAGGATGTAACTTAAACACATTTTTATCAAGAATAATTTTAATTCAACATAAAGTACTTAAAGTAAATGACAAATACCTGAAACAATTAATGGTGTCGGTAGTATCACAGAGTACTGGGACTAATAAATTATATGCACTAAAAAGGAGGTCAAGGATTGCGATTTACCTCCGGCTTCAAATTTACACTTATGAAGCCAATGCTCAAGAGAATTAAACATGAGAAAACGTACACAAGAAGCAGACGTCTAAATGAAAATCAGCATTGCTCGACTATGTATGTCCAGCAAGTACCTTACCAACTCCTTTAACAATCGATTGGAGAGCTTCTTGTATAGACTTTATTATTGCGATATTACTGTAGGTTGACACATGTTTTACTCTTTCCTTTCCTTTTACGTTACGGTTACAAGAGCTTCTAATATAAATTACGTTACATCTTAGATAAATGACAAAATACAGAGGAAAATATAAAACGAAATTACTTTCAAAACGATGTGTCTGTCACTTGGTAAACGGTTGACGTTGAACTAAATTTACGAATTACATATATTATCTTAACTAAAGAGTCCTCAAGGGACCAAAAATAAACAAAATGGCACTAACAGACTTCTTAATTCGACTCTTAATGATAATGTGATACAACTGTGTTGCCTTGTTTTTAAAATCATTAACTTATCAAATTCATAATTTTCAAAAGAGCTGTGTGTAGAATAAAGAGACTAAAGGAAGGGGTAAATCGCGGAAGACTACTTATCACAGAAGTATTTCAAATTTGTTGAAGAGCTCGAGTGGAAACACCGKTTAATATAAGTTTGTGATGYTATGTTACGGTTTTTTTAGTCAATGACATTCAGGTTTTGAAAATACTCTCCTGCATAGGATTGTTTTTCAAAATTTTAATGGTATAATGGAAAGCACGCTTTGTCATTACCATAATGATTACTTTTTCTCAGTCAGGTGCCCTGATTATTGGAGATCCTTTTGTCGGAGAGGTCATGTACAAAGGAAAAAACAGAAAAGATATTCATCCTTTGCCTGGTGCAAGAGATGAAGCATTACAGATAGGTGAACTCCTTGAAGTACAACCATTGATAGGAAAGCAGGCAACAAAAGAAGAAGTCTTAAGCAAATTGCAAGAAGGCGTTTCTGTTATCCATTTTGCAGCCCATGGTAGTGCTGAAAGCGGTGAGATTTTCCTTGCTCCCTCTCAGCCGACAACAAAAAGCACCATTCCAGAGGAGAAAGACTACATGTTGACAATGAAAGAAGTACAAGACAGTGGAATTCGTGCCCAACTCGTAGTACTCAGTTGTTGTCACAGTGGTCGAGGAGAGATCAAGTCAGAAGGAATCGTGGGAATGACTCGAGCATTTCTTGCAGCAGGAGCCCGTGCTGTTGTCGCGTCATTGTGGGCCATTGCTGACCAAGCTACTAGGTTCTTTATGGTGAAATTCTATTCACATCTAAAGAAAGGAGAGAGTGCTGGTAGGAGCCTACAGCAAGCAATGAAGGAGATGAGAGAAACAGAGATGTACAAGGAACCAAAGTACTGGGCTGCCTTCTTCCTCATTGGAGATGACGTCACAATCACTATGTAAATAGCATTGGCTACTAGTATAAATACAACCTGCACTGTTTTGTCATTATGTATAGTTTAAAACACTCGAGATCGTGTTTTATCAGGTATAAAGATTCGAGCCGAAGTCGAGAATCTTTATACCTGATAAAACACGATCTCGAGTGTTCTAAACGGCTTAAAAAACTCCAACACTAATTTGAAACTCAAATCCGTTAAAATTCTTGGAGAAATTGCCGTACAAATATGTTCAGAGATAAATGGGGCAAACTGATCATGCGCGAATCACTTTACAAAGCACTCTTGTCATCCCACATTGAATACGCATAAAGTAAAAAAGAAGCGCTCTTGGATGTGCACTGAAATCGGTTGACATCCTACATTGGTCAATGATCAGGTTTCAAACCTGAGACCTTTGCTAGGGTCATGGACCTTTATATCTGATAAAGGTCACCCTTATTAGTATTCTTTATATAAAGAATACTAATAAGGAGTGTTTTATCAGATATAAAGGTCCATGCATGTGGCCAAATAGGCTCATTCTATTGGATTAGTAGCTCATTAATTATGTATGAGTTTTTTAACTATTTATAAACATTGATCAACAACAAAAGGACTCTTGTACAAAAGTAATAGTGAAGAATAACAAGAAAATGGTAATGACAGTAGTGAATCGAAATTATATTGGTCGGTAGGTGTGGCACTTCACGCAAACACACTTGAAAGTCTATGACTTATCAAGAAGGGTGCTGTTACTTTACTTCCTTTGTCTTAAAAAAAAATTCGTTTTAATGCAATATAAATTACGCTGAATTATATTGTTCTAGCACTCGAATAACTAATAGTAATTGAAATTCCTTTTAAACTTGTTAATCTTGAAGCAATTAATTGCATGCTCAATCAGGTAGACACAAACTAATGGTTCAACTTTGTTTTGCTATAACTCACACAATATGAATTTTTTTTGTATTTTTGTATTTATGCTTTTTCTTTTCATCAGATCTAACTAGTAGTAGTGAGGGCAAGGACCCCGCTGAATATAGGGAATAAAGTTAAAAAGGCATGTTATTTTGAACAATTTCATATATTGGAGCACAGTGTAAATAAGGATTGAGTTTAGTATGAAAACCGAGAGCAGATCATTGAAATCCAAGACCGAAGGTCTAAAAGCCAACCGCGACGTTTATGGGCTAAACGACTGTTCGAAAATAAAGTAGCTATAATTTGCATGCAACAAAAATAGCTAGAGTTTGTAAAAAAAATAAAATTTTGACTGTTTTTTTTTTTTTTCTTTTTCTTCTTACAAATGTCAACCATTCCAGTTAATAGGACTTTAGATAAAAGTTAAGGGTATTCAATAATTATCAGGAAGTGGGGTTAAAAATCCAGGGTACTCTCTGAGGAAAGGCACGTCCGAGTAAATCAGATAAGGAGAAGGAGGTATAACCTATAGTTCCAGACCTTCTGCTTATGGAAAGATTAAAAATGCGATACAATTCTAGACAAAAGTCATAATTTGTTGTAAAAAACAMTCACGCAATTTTGAAAGAAACGTTTATTAAACTAACGTGATTATCTATAAACCTTTTGTACATCCATATACTTGGGGCAGAGTCAGGAACCCACACAGCACGAGGTCCCACTTTATCTGCGGGTTTGTTGAATACATAAATGCTGAAACTTTTAGAGGCATGCATTTTAAATCTTCCTTACTTTTAAACTCTAACATGATTTTTAGCCAATACTACCTTTTGAATAACACATGTGGACCTCATGTGGTGCTTTTCCTACTAGTCAGTTGTCTTTTGACAAAGGATTACTGTCTGTGTCTCTGCCTAACCTTAAACAGGATTGGGAAGCCTGTTTAAAACCAGTGGAACATTGTCCATACAAAATCGAGGAAACCCGCTGCTATTTCCATTGTACTGCCGTGTAGGATTCTGTGTTATCAAGTCACTGAAACCTTATACTAAACAGTAAGTGACACAAGCTATTATTTTCATGTTTGCAACCAGAAGTCGATGCTTTTGAATAGATTTAATATGTTTTATAGAGAACTTGAGATCCTAAATACATCGGCAAAGGTTAAAGGAAGGGGAAAAGCACCCCTCCCTCCTCCCTTTTTGTAAGAATGCTTATTTACAGGGATGAGATTTTGAATAGCTTATGATATATTCGGGTGTATATTACCTTGCGATAGGATAATGACATATAAAATGCGTGTTAATATATGTAATTCACGGGTTTTTTGACTTCACTAAAAGTGTGAAATATTTATCTTTTGTAGTGCAAACTTTGTTTTCATCTAATGGATATACGACCTATTTCAAAAACCGTTGTCTGGGAGAACGCCTTATCGAAGGGAGAATGCACGACCGAAAAGGACTACGGCTACACTGTTTTGACAAACAAAATATCACTTATTGGATTCGACTCGCATAGAAATGGAGACTAAATGAAAACAATGTTCATCAAAGACTATCTTACAGTATAAATCAGTTGTTATTTTTTCGCCAATTAGTAAAACCCTTTGCTTTCGGTCATGCAATAACCGTTCGACAATTGGCATTCGCCATTTTATCCGACAATCTTTTTTGAAATAGGAATATGGCGTGCTTTCTAAAAGCTGCAGTTTCGTTATTTTTCTACTCTGTAAAAATATGGTCTTCCGTTGGTTACGACGTAATTAATTAAATCGGTTTTTTTAGTGCTGGGGTGCCTAGTCAGTTTAAGAGGATGCAAATTACTGGTAGGACACAATGCTTAGTATCATGACATTTAGCAAAAAATATTTTTCCAGCATGTTTTTTTTACGATCCATTGGATTTYAGCTGAGGCAATTGTGTTACCGTATATGTTGCGTGATCCAACTCCATTGAGAATTGTGCACGGGACTTTCGAAAGCCGATATGATCAAGGTATTCACCAAGAATCTTTTGCAAAATTGTGTGGAGTCACCGTCAATGATTGCGTTACTACAACCTCCTTTCCCCTCTTGCAGTGCTATTTAGTCTCTATTTGGAGATGAATTGCAACGACATCGCCAAGGATGAACATAGGAATGTGTGTTTAAACTTGCTGAAGGGAAAAGAAGTCTGCATTTATTTTACAGAGGATTGCTTTCGAAGTGCTCCTATTGTGAYTTTACTTGTAAAATGATGATGCTAATCTCCCAGTCTATTCACGACTTTCAAAAATGGCGCGATGGGTCACGGTCGTCGAGCAGGGCACTGGGGACGAAGCACTAAAACGAGGTCTCAAAGGCCAGCCTCCGTATAGTGAGCTTCCATGGTGCCTTGCAAGAGTGTTTTGTTATAAATTACATACCAATGCATCTTTCAAACTTTTCGACACTGCCTACATACGATCTCCGTAGTGATTTCTTGATGGAAGGCCTTTGAGGTCTCGTTTCCATGATTCGTCACTAGTCCCCAATATAAGCGGACGTGAACTGGCGCCATTTTTGAAAGTCGTGTGTATATGATCACTAGTCTTTGTAAAGGGACTCTAGTAAATCAAGTGAGCGGCTACTGTTTCTCTTCGGTGTTATCATGGTAAATGATGTTTCTACCCGTGACCCGAAAGCATTTCCATTAGACTCCAATGGTCGACCATCTCTTAAAATTTTCAGTCCCAAGGCATCGGATGCTCCTTGGGCGTGGTATTTCCAGCTTTTAGGATTAAACTTAATTCCTCGTTTGAACGAGCGAACTGCTTTGATGAAATCCATTTTGAAAAATGTATAAAGGACAGGGTTCACAAAAGAAGTGGCAAAGCGAGCGAACATAAGTACGGTATTTAGCCAATTTGGGATGACAGTTGCGATTTGTGTACCCTGCAGTACTTGAAGGTCTTCCAGAAAACCCCGAGTGAAATAGTAAAACCATCCTAAAATGTATGTTAGCACCATTCCAACATAGATAAAAATAGCGCGTATTTCCTTTTTAAGGCGCTTTTTTCGTTTGGAGGCGTTTTCATCGACCTGTGCTTCTTGTTTAGAGACGCTATGATGCTGCCTTCGTACTATTATATATATCCTGACATACGCATATATAATAACGACCAATGGTAAAACTACCAATGTTATTATGCTTGTGATATTGTAAATTGGTTCTGCTAGTTGAAGGTGCTTTYTGGGAATTAGATGTGGATCTTCAAAGTCTAACCATGCAAGTTGGATTAAAGTCACTGTAAGCGCAAAGACCCATATGCAAGGTAAAATGATCATAATAGATCGCTTTGACATTAATTCAGTGTTCATTCTATGGACAATAAGGATATATCTCTCTAATGCGATACCAGAGAGATGTAGTATCGTAGAAAAAGCAATGAATCTGCTGCTTAAGTCAAGTGCCATGAGCAGCCATTGGTCTCTCGTCACTGCGACGGATATCAACAGAGGTATGACCAAAAATCCCGCCAAGAAATCAGAGCATGCCAAGCTGGCCAATGAGAAGTTTGTAGATGTCTGTAAATAGACATGTTTCTGAACCAGATATATGACAAACATATTGGTCAAAATGATTAACAATGCAAGAATTCCGAGGGGGACAAAAATAGGAATTAGCTCAGCAATACTATGTGCTTGCCCCATACTGATGGAGGTATTCCTGGCCGCAGCAGTTGCGTTATCTAACGAAGAATTCGACAAAGCGTTCATTTTCGCTTTTAGTTCCCTTAGGACATTAATTTCCAAGTGRATACTTTATAATTGAAGCTCGTGGTGGGATAAACTAAGCAGTCAGTCCTGAAATATTAAAAATATAAAAGAAATTAGAAAAAAAGGATTCAATTAATTAGAAGCTGTTATTAGCTGCTAAAGGAAATTGAATAACTGGTGTTGTACTGTCGATTATAACAAGTCCCACGTGCTTCCTATTTTTTCACAAAAAAACAACCGCCATCTTTGACTTTGAACCASCTTTCAACAACGGATTATTTTAAAGAAAAGTTTCTTAAAGATTCTCAAATGTACGTGGGGCTTTAGAAATGATAGACATTCTGCACTAGATCCTGAACAGCAAATCTCCACATGAGAAGTGCGGTAAGGATCCCATTTTTTTCATCTTTTGAACAGGGAAGCCAATAAAAAAATCGTTTTATTTGAAGATTTATAACAAAATTTAGAAATTTATGTTTGTTATAACAAGTGAAATGAGTGGAAATTATGAAAGGGGGTGGGGGGGTGGGGGAGGGTGGGCGATGAAATGAAATTGCTGATTTGTATCGATTAATTCGTAGTTTATTGTATGTTCTTTGTCGCACAATAGGTTAAAGGCTTGTTAATTAGTACAATTCCTATGTCACAGACGGATGAAAATGGCTATATTTCATGGTTTTCCTGTGATTGGTCTTATTATTTGCCTTATTAGAGACGATGTTACAAAGTCTCGACTAAAACTGAAAAACCTGACCTGAATTTAGAGAGTTTGTCGATTCAGCAACTTGAAGATTTGACACTAGAAACCGCACCAGTCGCTAGCTTAAGAAAAATGTTTAACGTCAATTCGAAACGATTAAATAATTTTTAAAAATGAAATTTGATTAATTGCGTTAGCCTAGTCTATTGAAGCTTTACTTAGCACTAATTGAAGTTTGATAAAATTGTTTACGTACCTATATGCAATTTTTTATTGATGATTCAAGAAGTAAGGAAAGGTGGTGTGTTTATTCTGAGAAATTGAAAGCGACAAGCATAGAATACACCATTCTTATTTATAGAAATAAGTTTCTTTTTGATGCTTCCTGTGGTGGTAAAACCCTACCCGCACATATTCCCAGTCCTTTTTCGGTAAAAGTCCAAGAYGGCTAACGTTTTGTAGGTTTTCAAAAATCCGGATTTTTTTGTGGAGGAATTCCAAATACAGCCCTTTGCAAAAATTATGAGAATTGTCTAAATATCTAAATATCATAATATCAATATCCATATATTTTCCGGAACACGCGGGTTTGCTAGAATAATTCATTGTTGACATCGAGAAAATGTTCAGAACTACGGATAAGTCTGTCGCCATAAAAACACTAAACTACAAAGACAAGGGACTAAGGGCATCGCGCGGGATTACCCATCATGCACTCGATATTATGATATTTAGATATTTCAACAATTCTCATAATTTTTGCAAAAGGCTGTATGTTAAGTATAATTCCTTATTTTGGCAAAACAATTGTCCAAGCGAAAAACACAGAAGAGGTTTTATAGGGAATTTCTCGGAATATAGAAAAAATACTAGAAATGCGTACAGACGGATATATATCCACGAGTTAAAATTGACTTGGAATTCAATCGACTACATGTCTACATTTCATGAGAAAATGAAAGATGGTAGTTTAATCCTTTACTACTTCATTTAATAAGTAAAGTCAATYTCCGTCGTTAATAAGCCAGTGTCTGATGCTTGTAGTTGGAGCTTTTACATCGGTAGGCAATTAGTCGCCAAAGCAATAATTAAACAATWTCGTGAACAGTTGTCAGCTGAGCTTCAGACATATTGGATTTTTAAAATACACGTTTGCTAAAATCGGCGTCATTTTTTTTTTCTTTTTTCTGTTTATCACCAACGAAAAAATGACCACAGTAACACTAAAGAATACTGCTTCGATTAGAAGCATTTTAAAATCSTAGGAAAGTCCACCATTAAAATTCGTTGAAAACGAATTTCATTAGAAATGTATGTCTGTGGGTATAAGCCATACATTTTCTATGACAATTTCAAAAATTCACATCTCTATGAATCTTCAATTAATGCCGGATACTCAGCTTTAATTTTGAAGCTCTAAGTTTTCACACCAAGTATTTCATGAGTCGTTTTGTCTTGGCTTTGAAAGAAAAATTAGGCTAATGAGTGGCAGACATTTTGGCAAAGGCTCTATTCAATGACCGAGAGAATACAAAAACTAAAGAAAAACAATTGACAGTGCAAATTTATGTTCGCAAAGGAATAAGACTAGAACTTAACGAATCTTTTCGTCTTATACCATTTTTTAGCTTGTAGTGTTAATTTTCTGTTTTCACATGAMAAACGCCCTTTCAAAATAAGCTGCATGCAAACACTTAACTAAGTACAAATAGCAGTTCATAAGTTATTGATGTTAAATGGGGCTAACAACATGATGTGTTGGAAGTATGAGCATACCTTTTTAGCGTCGTATTGAAAACTGATGTCAAAGTGTTAAAATATTTTCATAAGTAATGAGACTAATTCCGTGAGGAAGACATTCGGCTCCAAGTGGAAAAATAAGACATTGATTTTGAAAGGTTCCACTGACGTCTATACATAAGCTTWWATGTGCGCGATAAAATGGGAAACCACGCTAACGACCTTATARCCTACTGAGGTAGAGGCGTCGGTGATAACAAAATCGCTCAGAATATTCTGTGTTAGGAAAAGGTAGATTTACAGTTTAAATATTGTTGATAAAAGTAATTATGTTCTACAGGAGGACAAATGAAAACAAAGGGAAGCAAAAGTACCCATGATTCTTTGAGGCACACTAGCTTAAGGGCTTTTACAGGTGACAAAAGTTTATCCTGAGAAGAGTGGAAATATGGTAATCAGACTTTTCTAAAGTCCGTCAAATAATAAGTTCAAATCTTCTTTTTATCTTTGATATTCAACTATTTATTGCTAAACAAGAAACACAGATTAAACGAAAACGGGGACAAAATATATATATGCCTGTATAGCCTCGCTCGGYCCTTCTTTTCATTGCGTCGAAGCGTGGTCATATATGCTTGCCATCAAGGTCATGATTGACTAGGGATCTGGGTTAATATGGATCTTGTTTCAATAATTGTTCACAACATTGTTTTTCATGTTTTCCTGCCACGGTCAATTGATTTTTGTCGATTGTTGTAGCTCCCTAGTTTTCATTGCAAATATATTTAATAGATAATTTGCTGTTTTGTCTCTAGTCTGCCACACTATCACGTTGCCTATTAAAGCTGGATTAGCACCAAAATCGCAAAGTGGAATTACAACGAAAAGTAAAATGCGTTGATACTTAGTGAATGGGTATAACACTCACGGTTTGTGCCAATATCGCTGTATGGTCTCCACGTGTATTGAGGTATTTAGCCCTTTTAGAGAAGGCGAGTGACAAGTGAATTCTTTCGTTATAAATAGATCGAAAAACAAGGCCTAACAACCTGYTATAATCAATATTTTAGCCAAAAATAGTTAGACAGGTCATTCTATGGTGAGYCATTATAAACTTAATTATAAAGTCTTTGTTGCTATGCAAATGATCGATGAGTCGTCATGCACAGTATTTTTTCGTTACTATAGTTCAATACTAAAAAAAGGAAGAGTGTGCATAGAATATAGACGCTAGCATACGAATAGTTATAAATTAGTTTGAAAGGAATGCTATTAAAAAAAGATTTGAACTATTGTTTATGCCATGCTGTTTCGCGGACGTAGAATATATGTTAACAAATAACAAAAAAAATACATAGAAATATATACAGGACATAGAAATTACAATATTCAACATTTTGTGAAATATTTCGATTTAAAAGTGGCWTTAGGTCAGTCGTAGCTGACTCTTCGTGAAGAAAATAATTGTTGCTTTTCCATTTTCSAATRATAGCCTACCTGACGAAAAGCMGTTGGAGAAATTCCTTAGATCAWTATTTCTACAGTGCAAATTGGTCCTTCAGTAAGAAACTTACACCAAAACTAACTTTTTCTGACTGAAACCTACAATCCGCCCCGAAGTCTATACACTGAGAGAGTYGCCTGAAGTGYTTCCACGATTTGGTGATATCGACAAAAGGCCCCAGAAAGCCAACTACTCGTGCAAGGGTTGTCGGGAAAAAGCAAGTACTTGCYTTCTTCATAATCCAAAAAAWTCGTATAAAAGTTKATAATGTTTTGGGCTATTCATTATCATTATTGTTATTGWTGGTATATTTGCTTTACTTTTGAAATGTTTTGATGATTTTCATTTTTGAAATAATAGTTGCTTTTTTTATCGTCTGCAAAGTGATATTATCGCCATGATATCTGATAGCAATGAACGGGTTTTTTTTATTAGTTGTTATGAAATTCTGTTTTCAAAAGCAGTTTCTATTGTGACCAGTCGTTAGTCATAGCGCTTGCCATTACTATTATTATTTCAGTCTTTACACAGCAGATCTTGCATGGTAGCCAACTGGTGGCAATCACTATGACAAATCAATGTGGAAATGACGCCCTTGAGAAAACTATGTTTAACCTAAGGAAAAAGGATGCTTAAAACGTTTGTAAAGAAAAGGYGCCATGTGCACTCTACATTGCAATCACACAAGTTACCTYRAAAAAATAAAACAATAGATWCTGCGTTGAAATTGTTTTTTGAAAGGAGGCGATTTAGCAAGCAATGTCTTGTTTAGCTCAAAACTATTCTGGCAATAACTGTCAGTAAACAAAACACTGAAKACTCGTTACAAACGATGAGATRTTGACAACATCGCTGTCTACTTCMAACAATGTTTAATACAATGCTTTTTAAAAGCTTATACTTTGATACAATTGTAATGATTTTCGGCGGGAGTGTGTGATTAATCTAAAAGGCTTCTAGGRCTAAGCCTTATGCCATGAGAGCTCATTTCGTTTTTTTTAGCGTATTAGACACACAGCCCATTAGATGAATTCAGTAGTCAAGAAAGGGTCTTTTGTAAAATGTCATATCAATAGCAATGTTTTTATTGAAGAATTTATATGATTCTTTTGGTGAGAATTTACTCTCAACATCATTAAATGATATATTGAAATGATGATCGTGGTGTTGATGATAACATTGTTGCTCATAAATGGACTTAACACAACTATAGCCAGTGATACTGTGAACAACAGATATATACAATACTATAGTGATCGYTATCATAGTATCATAGAGATATAATCATAAGCCGAAGGCGAATACGATCTTGAGCCGAAAGGCTTCTACCTGAAAATCTGRTGGTTTTCAACTCCCTGAAAGCCAGCCGCCTGCTTACTATCTGAAATTTGAACACCGTGCTCTACAACAGATATAATGAAGAGRCAAGCAACAATGTGATCAGTTTAGAGTCGATATTAACTCAAAACTAGTTTTAAATAATGTTGTAGACTTACTTGATATCATGATGGATGGAAGAGATCCTAAATGTAAATAAACGAGTTTCTGTTGATTATAAAGTGTGATAAAATCGCTTTCAACACAAGACGTGGAATTGAGGGTCAGGTCCAGTTCTCTTTGTGGAGCAATCTAGTGATTGCTACCAATGCATGATTAGTCAGCTGTGTGGTCCACTATTTTATCCAGTAAAGTAGACTTTCACGACCTCGATCAACGAGGAAGATCTGAAGATTGGCTACTGATTGAGGTACCTACTGTAGATAATTAGCCTACCGGACTATTATTGAGGGAATTCATGGTCCCGGGCCTGACCACTACTCAGGACGTTAGATCGGTGCTCCCGTTTCCCTTTTCCCTCCTTCTCTTCTGAATTTGGGTAAAGTAGAACAGCCACTACTGAAAACACAACAAACCATAGCCTTGACCTTCAGTAACTGCCTCTTTATCTCTCTGTGTCCTTTTAGGATTTAGCGATATTGGATATTCCTAGAAGTGCAACGAACTAAGACGTAGTAGTGCAGACACAATGATAGTCAATCCTGAGATTTTCGGATATGAGTACAAGTTTATAAATATAAGCCTGATTGCTTTAAAGGCTATGCCAGAACTCAGATGTCATCACGGGATCTATTCAGTGAAAGAGCTCTTGACGTTTATGAATTGACAACTATTCAAGCTTACACTGAGTATATGCTAAGGTGTCTGAGACATGTGTATTCCTCAACTAAAAGATAAGTAAATTTGAGTTAACAAAATATTAACTTCCAAAGAATGCAGGACTGATTGACAAGGTTATGAAGAAGAGCAATTAAATGAATATATGGTGCTCTGCTTGGCTCACAGACGTGACATCTGCACTGCGCAGAGGCAGTGGTAAGCATGCAGGAGTGGGGTCAAGTTACTTGAAGGGCATAACAACCAGAGTATTAGTATGTAGCTTTGTTTAGTCGCACTGAGAGTAGGGATTGGGAGTGAATGTGCCCCAATATGGTTAGGCGCGTTTTTAAGAGTCCAGACTATTGTTCAAGAGTGATAGGAACTTTATTTACAGGATTGACGGACATCAATCCGGTAAGACTAAAATAAAAATGTATCTGAACCCGAGTTGAAGCTTTAACGAGAAAAATTGAGTAACTTTAAGTGGAAGCCATAACAAGACGAATAAAGAAAGTCACCTTTAGTTAACRTAAAACACAACACCGAACAGAGGAACCCAGAAAAAATGAATTAAGCATGTACAGTAAAGAAGCCGTGCCTCTTAGTAGTGCTTTATATTATTCAGCGCGATTCCCTTTCCTGGGTCACGTGGAAGCACAATTGGCACAATTCTGCTTTAAAATMTTTGAGAAATCTTAGGCCTCAAGCAGTGCAGTGCTTTCCTGCGAGAACCAGGCCTACACTAGTAGCAAATCAAGAGGAGGAGCGAACAACCAATCCATCTACTTTGAAAAATCACTTTCCCCTACTTTGTACCTACTCTAATTTGTGACGATGTTTTGCACACCAGGAAAAGCTTAGATCCTCTGRACCAACATGTACTCCGGTTGTTGAATCATTTAGGAAGAGGCGGTGAACGTAGACCACCTTGTTAGACAAACAGAGTAGGAGCACTGTTAATGGATCACAAGGTAAAGCAAATATAGGGAGCAGAAATTGCACTTGCTCAAGGATTGATAATAAAGACAGAATCTAAGCAGAAGTTAGAGATAAAAGAGGAAAACCAATTCCACTGTGTGTAGAGTTGAGTAGAAAAGAAGGAGCCTGTATTCAAAATATAAACAAACCACTATTTTGAGCAATTTAAAGACCCATTTATATGCGAAGTATATAAAAACAAATAAACTAAAACAGATCAAAATCAAATTTCAATGCTAGAATAAATTTTCAGACTGTTAGATAATATAAAACAGTGAGAAACGATGGAAACCCATTAGAGCAGTCACCATAGGTGCAGAGCAAAGTGATCATCTCATAGCCAGGTAAATAAGTTGATGCGCTAAGTGCCTTTCTACTGTAATAGCTTTTTTTAAAAAAGTAARATTCTCACACGTACCGAATTCAATACAAGAAAGGAAGATAATGCGCACAAGGAAAGATTGATGCATCTGGCATTGAATTCGGCATATTTTWGCGGAGATTTGGCGTTTATGGAAATTAAGAACCTGTTTCAGCAAGGTTATCGCATAATTTGGCTGCATAAAAGAATCATGACATGGCGCAAGGCCTTTTCGCATTTTGATGGCGAGCCAATGCTATTTGGAACTGAAATAAAAAAAAACACCATTCATGCGATACAATGAAACACCGTCAACTCAAAGACACCTGTTAAGCGCAGCATTCAACTCGGAGTAAACTTCACAACAACGTGTCACTACGCCCTCAACTAAGTTGAGTGTCTATATATCTTTTTAAAAACTTGAAGTTAGATTGCGCAGAATTTTCTTTAAAAAAATGTCGCTATTGTTTGACCCGAAAGAAAYGTTTGGAAATAATATATTTAAATCTCATAGGAAATAAAAACAGCTGTATRCATATAACGTACTGAAATATCGCGGTAGATTTCCTAAAGAGTAACTGAACTATTCCTGACAACCCTCACGTAAAGAAAACTAAATGACTTTAAAGCTGAGTTTTCTTCATAATTACATCCTCCAGTGTAATAAAATTGAGGTTTCAAGGAAATTATACAAATTGCCTCAAGCTCGWGAAAGATATTAGTCGCATATTGGTTATCAGTTATTCAGCAAAAAAAATGAATTTTTAAGTCGTTTGATTGTCTTTTTTTATTTTAATGTACGCTTGTTTGTTTGTTTTCATTGTTTCTCTTTTGTTCTGCCTTGTTTGTCTATCTAATTCTTACTTGGGTGTTTTCTGTTCATTCTTAAACCTTTTATCAATATTTTGCCCTTAGACAACGCATATGGCTAAAATATAACTCAAAGACATAATTGCGAATAAATATGAATGAATTGTGAATCGCATATTAACGAAACTTGTAAAATATATCATGTACTCAGTTTCCTACGGTGAGTTCGATAGATGCCTCTATCACCGAGTACTTTTATCAACAACTTTAACCTTTGGGCTATCAATTAATATTTCATGAAAGTAAAACGACTTTGTGTCTACGAGGAATACTAGATGGACAATGAAACAATATAAGGAAATTCAGACAAATATAAAAGAGAAATCGGTCGACTGAATCGAAGAGGGTACTGCGGAACGTTATCCCAATCCGTTCAAGCATACGGCTGAGTCAAAGACCAATACTACAATCTACATAATAAGATACTATGGATTAACATAAAAAYTACTATATTTTATTATCTACTCAAGCTCTGACGGCAAAATAATTTTAACTCGTACCTTTATGCTGCGGTGGTGACAACGATTTCCAGAGCACAAATGACTTTTTCCTTTCGTTGACTGCCGTTGCTATGTTACTCCGCTTTTCGCCTTTCTTTCTCCCAATTGGGTAATTGTCTACGACTATTCTTTACTTCCTACAAACAAGCAATGTTATCAGTGGTTTGACAACAAGTTATTTACGCTGAGTTGCAAGCAGCCACAGAGRAGAGCTAACTATGAATGTGTAAGTTCATTGAACATCACTTAAGAACACTGAATTAATTGCCTCACCACGAACGCCTTACGCATGCTTTCATCAATAACAACATCATTAATAATAAACCCTGGTGTCATTTCAGTCCATAAAACTCTTGAAAGCATTAGAAACGTGAACAAAGTTATGAAGTATGGCAAAATGTCAACAGAGTAAAACTCACGCTGTCTTGTTATTTTTTCTTGCTCTCTATTAACTATTTCATGTTTTTTTAGGAACAATAAGGAGATCTGGAAGATTATGTATATTTTTCATAAGCTGTGTTCTAAGTGATAATAGTCATAAGCCTGTATGTATTATATTGCTTRTGTAGTTCATATAATCTCATACTAACAGCACATTCTCTGTTTGCCTTTTTATATTGCAACGCAACAGATATTTTCATTTGAAAAGGGAAGCCGAAGATTGTTTAGGAAACTGGGAATATCAACTTGTTTTAAAATATACCTTCTGTAATATAAGTGGATAGCTTTTTTTCTAAATCATTATATTTTCCTCTTTAATTTTCTGGATAGTTATCTTCATAGTGTGAAACAAAGATAAAAAAAATCAGTTAATTTACGTGCCTTGTAAAATGCCGACCGTCGTTGATCAATCATATCTCTCAGATGACTAAAAATACTCTATCGGTAAACGCAATGAAACAGAGTACAATGTATATCAATTTTACTTGAATAACAAATTATCCTCGCGTGCTTGTATGTAACAGTTCTGTCAACTGTAGTTTATTGATTGTATTTTATGAGCATAAATGTTTTTCTAAAGCGATGACAGGATGCTTCCTTACGAGGACTTCTTTAAAATATATGGCCTTTCAGCGTAAAAAAGCAGTTGTAGTATTTTAAAGTTTGCATAGAGCATTGCAAAAACAACCCTTTGTKCCCAAATAGGCTTAGATCGATAACGTTGAAGATAGAAGACTAAGACAAGTCGATCTCTATTTTGCAGCTGGGAGAAGACTGATTACCATGGATACGTCACGTTCTTAAAAAAGTTTAGTTTGTTGTCATGGGGATAATGAATGATCTATGAATGAGATAAAACTTATAATTCTTACAGAGCAAATAGYGAAGATTTGTCTACAGGGACTGCGTGTAAATCGCCTTCCCTCATCGTGTACCCAATCGAATTGTTGATTGAAAAAGGCAACCCGGCAGCATCGAAGCTAGGAACGAAGAGGATTTTGGGTACTTAGTACTTGGTTACTTTTTTCCAATTTTTCATGGCAAATTTCTTGAAGAGAAAGCCATGATTAAGGCTTGTAAATTGTATGCACTAACTTATAAAAATCGATCATTTCTATTTCACTTCATTTTGAATAAAATGCACTAGTTTTGATACTGGACCATGAGCTGAATTAATTCAAGAGCAAACAAAATCGTCCAATTACAGTATATGAGGCTTAATACAAACGACTTAAGAACACTACAAGAGAMATTTTGACAACTTCAAGGCCGATAAAAAATGAATTAGCTCAACAATAATTAGTGTGCAGATGTTTTGTCGGTTCGTAGCTCATCTTAAGCACGTTGTATCTAGTRAACTGKGGATCAAAAGAAAATAGTAGATGGCAATTGAATCACCAGTGAAGTTTGTGTTTGAATATATAAACTATAATTATAATTCTTTCCTTTTCTCTTGATTTCTTTTATGTACATTTTTTTCAGTTAAATACAAAAAATCTGTCGTCTTTATATCAGATGCATCATGGTGTTTTTTTGGGCATTTGATTTAGATTCATTTAGTGATTTTCGCTACATGTTAGATTCAAATTAACTGACCTCTTTTCTTAATAGGGTCATMAAAAATTGAACATATTCTGCACGTTCGTGACAAATCATTTGAAATATCAGCTATCCTAATTAGGATGTTACATGGCGCGCGGAGATACGAATTTTATCTTCGAGTGTTGAAAAGATCTYTCATGAGTGAGCGTAGTGAACATTTTCAACACGAAAAGATAAAATTCGTATCTCCAARCGAACATGTAATATTCTATTTATCATATAATGTATATGAAAGCAAACTATGCCGTAAAATGCCCTTTTTTTACTTCCGCTATATATAGAAACCTCGAATTTTATCTTCGACAGTTGAAAATATCTCTCACGAGTGAGCAAATGAGAGATTTTCAAAACCAGATAAGTTTCGTATCTCCAAACGACCGTGTAATATTCTGTTTATCATACAATTTATACCAATGAGGGCAAATTATTTTTTAAAATAACTTTTTTTACCTCAAATATATAGAGAACGTGTTATTTTCACAAGTAAAGATAACATCTTTACGTAATAAAGACATAATAATTTTGAATAATTATAACAACAATAATTATCATATGAATTATAATAATAATGATATGATAAATAGAGGATATTACATGGGTGCGCGGAGATTTTAAACACGAGAAGATAAAATTCGTATCTCCAAGCGACGACCATGTAATATTCTGTTTATCATATAATTACATATGAAAGCAAATTATGTCGTAAAATATATTTTTTCCTACTTTTACTATATAGAGAAACATCGAATGTGTTATTTTCACTTGTGAAAATATCAATTTTACGAAATGGAGAAATGTAGGTATTTCATAGATATTTATATTGATAAATAGCATTAAGCTCATATATTCAAATGGAATTAACACTGCAAATTTTGTATCGTGTGTAGTGATTCTGCCTATTCTTGATGAATAATCAAAAGAGATATAGACTAAAAATATGCAAATGAGTAGCTCTAGGCTAACCGTCTTTTCACCTTCAGAAAGTACCTTTCTTGGGACCAGTTTGCTTAAATTGCATCTATAGCTGAAGCTAACAATTAACTTCAAATACAAAATACAATACAAATATTTATCTAAATAACTTATTAAATAATGGAAGCGTCTATTTTACGTTTTATTTGCGTTCTGAATGGTAAAGTATCAGTTTCCGCTTATTGAGCAAATTTAATATTCGGAACCATCATATTTGGTGGAAAGTGGATTAAAACTTTGAGGACTYGCTAGCTCGCTGCCTTTTGATACTGGGTTGTATTGATATTGTTCTCAGCTCAAAAGTGAAAAGGAGATGGCAAAAATTTAAAGTGATAAGCGCTAGAATCAACAAACGTTGATTTTTTTTAAAAATTCTAATACTTTTTTTCTTAAGTATTGATATATATCATTSATAATCAAACTTAAAACGCTTCACTTAACTATGAAAAAAGGCATTAAGTGTTACGATAAAGTGCTATAGCGCCGCTACACGCAAGCTTCATCTCGAACTAAAATTATTGAAAAAATTGCCATAAAAAAAGCAATAACAAGCGATCAAAGATAAGCAAAAAAAAAATGTAAAAATTTGAAAAAAGGACGGAAATATGTACGACAAACATGTTGCAATAATTTTTTTTAACTAATTTCACGATAGAATTATTCCTCTCCCATTCTATGCATGTTGCCAAATGTTTTAATATGCTTTTAATTTAGTTGCTTTCAATTAAAATGGATAGAAATTTCCAAATCTAATTTCCGCTGACGAAGATGCCTCACTTCTCACAGCAGCCTTTTGTTGAATTTTTTTTATACTTAAAAAAGGCCCCCAACTAAGGACTTTTTAAAGACGTCACTCAAACAAAGAAGTAGGATACTTAAAAACATAATAACTGACTAGTTTATTAATGAAAAACAGAAATTAATTTCCTAGCCACTCCCAACTGCTTGACTCAATAAACATGAAAAATAATAAATAAATCTGTGTTGACCTTTATAGCTAAATTAATCTGCTTTGTCTTGAGAAAAGCATTATTCATTTTGAATATAAATACATTTTGGGAATTCATTGTTTGAATGAAAGAAAACGTCAAATATTGATTTAGTAGCGACAAAAAAAGCTAAGGGCAATATCTATAGATAATCTTAACGCATAACATTTCTTTTTTTTATAATATCAGAAAAACACTTTCCGTATCAATATTTTCCTCATTTTCCTGTTGCCCTACTAACAGAGACCAATGAAAAAGAAAAGTATAAAAAATTAACGGAAGTGCAAGGCTTGGCATACCACGTCTTTCTGGAGAAGCTCCTAGAAAGCCGGTCCATTTGTTGGTTGATTTTAAACAATTTGGAATTTGAAAGATGTGCCGGCTGCTCATGAATTGCGTGGCCCTCGGGGACCAAAGATAACAAAACTGATATAAATAAATAGCCTATTAAAAGCTATAGTTCACCAAAATGCGATCAAAAATCAATTCTGTCTCATGTTTTTTCGTGRCGTTCACTACCGGTTAAAATTCCATCTAATATGTCGACAAAAAAGTATTTTAAGTGTGTCTTGACAGCCATTTTATCTTCCAGACGTCCCTATGTATCCCTTGATATTTTTGTCAAAACAAGCTTTGGGCGGTTCGGGCCAATTAACCCACATCATAAGTATGCAGTAACATTTTGTAAGAAATAGTAATTTGTCTACACAAAAACACATGGCTGTTCTCGACTAAACCCAGATCCATTCGCTTACGCTTACACGTTTTATTTATCAAGTAATTAGTTATAGTATTGCATAATTTTTCAAAATATAAATAAAAGTTTCACGGCAAGTACTTTCCTACGTTCCAAAAATGTGAGTTTTCAATATTAATTTTTTTTTGTTAACCTTATATAAATATTGGTACATTTCATAATCTATACGATATGTCAACCTAATATACGATTTAACGGAATCTTTCTCCGAGCCTGATTTCTTTTATTTTGTTTCATCTGAAGATATTTGYAGTAGATATTCCTAGTACTCACAAAATTCAATCCAACACTTTAAAATGCGGATAAAAACACCACTCGATATTCAATAGAATTTTTAAATACAATTTCTCAATGAATGTGTAGTCTATTTAAAGTTGGTATAGATAAATTGGCAAGCTTACCTAAAGATTCCATTATACATGTTTTTCTAAAGTATTGTGATAAGCTCGATCCGGTTAGTGTAAAGAAATTATCAACTGGAACGTCTGACGGTTCTTAAATCAGCGCTTGTTACCAAGGCTTTTGCCCGCCTCTTCATTCTCTGCTATGACACTTGTGACGTAGTCTTATATTCGTTCTGCTAGACATGAGGTCCAATATGGAATGACGAATTGTCTATTTCTGTCAAACTTAGTCAACGTTTGTTTATGTATAGGGCATAAGTGCAGTCACCAGTATGGAGGCACTTGTTTTAAATATGGGCTCAGAAGATTAGCTATTATATTTGAATGCCGATATAACGAATGCAGTGGAGGGGTTAAATCCATATATATATTTGCTATTTCTGCGATTATCTGAATATTACTGTTCTTTGATCTCGATAATAAAATCATTAGCATTATATAACTTATTTTTTATGATCAATTTCAATATGGTTATAAACAATGATCTGTCATATGATGATCGACGATGATGACGATTGTAGTATTGTAGATTACTTAAGTAAAATAAAAAAAAACACACCCCTTGAAATAAATATTAATTTAGTACACCTCGCGCTTTTACTAGGGGAGATTAGGGAGGACTAATTCTTCAGTATAAGACGGTCACATCATTGGACAATATAAACTAACTCTAGTGTCCTGTATAAACCTCCTACATTTAAATATGTACAAAATTATTTCGAAAGCAGGGTCTAACTATGACCCTGTTTACATGAGATAGGGTGCCCCTAGTGGTAGGGCCAAAATCATTTGTTTTTAAAACATCCAGCTAGGAAAAGAAAACAAACGAGCTAGCCCTACCACGTAGGGGCACCCTATCTCATGTAAACAGGGTCTAAAAACCCTGCCGGCTATCATTCACTTGAATTGTCTTGGTTTCCTTTATTTTAACGTTTAACTCTCGAGCAATATACACACGGGAACTTATTCCAACCTTTATAAAAAATATGGTTAAATAAAATTGTGCAATTTAGTTGGCTTAGAGGAGTGGTATTTACTCTTAATAGTGGTATTTCAAATTGCAGAATTTTATTCAACCATTTTATAAACAAATAATAACATGTTTTGTACATGGTGTTTGGGATAAATACCACTTGTGATATTTCAAAATTTGTCACAAAAATTTCGCTCATGGAGTTTTGTTTAACAATTTTGAAATATCACGTGTGTAATATTAATCCCAGATACCACTACGGCTGGGGCTAGGGACCTGTAGCCACGCCACAATATTTTTTTCCTCCAGTTTATTTATTTATTTATTTATTTGCTCATAAGAAAATGCGAAAAAGCACACTATCCTGCTAGTAACTCTTAAAATGCTGGAAATGTAATTTCCGAGGTTCAAAATTTTAGAATTTCCCTTCAACAAAAAAAACGTGCTTTGCGGTCGCTACAGTACAAAGTAAAAAAGAATGTATTTTGCACATGACCATTGATCCCTATCTGATATAGATTATATTCAAAACACTAGCATCAGAATTAACAATAAACTTTATCGACGAGAAAGATATCAATGAACAGGGACACAAGTTGCAATTTGAGAACAGTTCGAACGCGTGAAATATATCCTCTGCTAGAAGATGTGATACCTTGATTGTTGTACATGTGTTGTAGATTGTATTCGGCGTCTAAAACAGGCAACAACATAAGAGTAAACTTTGGCGACGAAGAAATCAACGTGAAAAGACACAAGTTACAATTCGAGATCCATTCCGTGAACAGCGTGCAATATATTTTTTGCTGCAGGATGGTTTCACGCCTAACGTAATTGTAAACCCTTGAACTAGATTTCTTTAATTGTAAAAAGAAACTTTGCTCGGTTAAAAAAAATGTCTTTTAACTTTTCCGACAAATGTTGCTGTTCAGTCGGTATCGGATATTCTTTGAAAGGGAGTACTTTACAGCACATTAAAACTTACAGATTTATCGCT